GCGGGGCCGGCCGCGCTGCGCGGCGCTAGGGCCACCGCGGCCTGGCGGGGCCGCCCGGCCGCCTCCTCCTCCTCCTGCCTTCGCTCTTCCTTCCTTCACCCGCATGCGTGTGTAGCGCCCCGTTTGTTAATGTTTTGTTACGTTTTTAATAGCAGCTGTTATAGCTCGTCCTAATTAAGTGAAGCCTGAGTTTGATCTAATTAGGGAGCTCGTGGGTTTCCTTAGTGTCGGATTAGCTGTGTTATTGATGTTACTGCTCCTGCCTTTATTCCCTCCCTCCTCGTGCTGCCTGTAGCAGCAGCTCTTCAGGGAAGTTCGTATCCTTCCGTATTTCAAAGCTCTCTGTGGCTCTGGGAGGAGGAACCATGGGCTTCTTGCAGGGGTTGGACATCTGATATATGGAGGAATAACTTAGGTTGTTGTTGGACTCCGCAAGTAATTTGGTATGATCTTGACCTGACTAAAAAARTCTTATTTTGGTGGGAGGCAGGAGCTGTTCCTTCCCTGCACTAGGGAGGGAAGAGCCAAGGTGTCTTGGATACTGCCACTCTATCTTGCAGGCTTGCCTTAAAGTTACACTTRATCCCTGAAAAGGGGGAAATGAGGATCAGAGACTAACCCAGTAACACAGCATGTCTAATAATACCTGCAGATCTTCTGGTCTGCAATAAAAATTCATTTTCCCAGGAAGGTGTTTTGGGAAGGGTTGCTTAATTCCAAGGCAACCCTAATCAGAAGTTTGGAAGCCCTTGGATAGGTTGAGGGAGGAGATCACGGTCAGTCTTCTGTGGTTGGGTGACTGTGGCCTTCAGAGGGCTTGAGTAAAAACTGAGGTGAAATAACTACTGATGACTGGCTCCTGTTGCAGGAACCTGAATGTGCATGAAACCAGCCTGGGGTGCCAACAAATCTGCACTTTTGTGGTTAATATGGAGTATAAAGCTAGTTCTAGCTCCAAAACTTACTTCCTCTGACTTGCTCTCGTCTTTATCCTCTTCCCTCTTGAAGAGGGAAATACTTAATTCCTCTTGAGCTTTATCCTGCTTTCTGTCATGGTGATGAGGAGTTCTCAGTCTAAGAGCAATAAATAGTCCAGTGGCCTATGCCATATTTGTTTAAGGAGCCAGAACCTGAGTAGTGTCTGGCTAGCTGCTTTATTTGTTTGGCTTTGGTTCCACCACCTGTAGCAATGGAAGAGCTTGCAGTGAAAGCAGGTGTTGGCGGTTTCCTACATGGTCAGCATGTGAATTCAGCTGCTTCTCTCTGGAAACCCCTGTGACAGTGCTCCCATCTGCAGGGGTTTCTCTGCTCTGTGTGCTTGATTCTCAAGCTGTATCTGGTATCTTTCCAGAGGAGARCAGTCAAAACTTGATCAGGGATCTGGAGCATTGCTCCTTAGCTTTCAAAGTAAACAAGCTGCAGCATGAAAAGTAACAGGAGAGGAGCTTGAGTCTGAGTTGTCGGCAAGCCTGGTGTCATTCAGATGGCTGTGCATGGTCACCTGCAGTTTTGTTGGACCATCTCTCAGTCAGGAAGTGGCACCAACTCAGGCTGCTGGGCAAGTATCCTGTGTGTGAGGAAAGGTATTCTCTCCACTCAGGATTATTTTTAGTCTGCATTTTAAAAAGAAGAAAATAAAAGGTGGGGAGGAGGCAGAAGTTACTTTGGTACACATRCGTGACCAAAACTGAGCTGCATGTGAAGTCAAAGGAAACTTGACTTGCTACCAACATGACAGTAAGAGCTGCATGTTCTCAAGTGAAAACAGAGAGTATTTTGACCAGTACCTGGGACCAGTAGCCCCTGCCTCTGCACTGCCCCTTWGCTCTTGCCAGATTCAGCTTGAACCAACTGACACCTAGTGAAGAAATAATACTACAGSCATTTTCCTATGCTTGTATTATCAGTGACTGAATCATTTGAAATCGTGTCTTGCTGGCTTGTTGCAGCTATCCATGTCATCTCTTTTAATGTCCTTTTGACAAAAGCAAGAATACATAGGTACTGCAAAAATCCTTACTAAAATGAGGGGGAAATGGAATTATGCACATCCCCAACTTCTCCGGTGGGCATACGAGTACCCTGTGGCCTATTCCAGAAGACTTCAGAGAAGTACCTCATGGAGATTTTAGCTGTATTGATGGCCATTGAGCATTGCTTGACATGACAACCAAATCAAGTTTATTGTTTAACTATCTTTCATTCTGCATTTTATGAAGAACGCTGTGGTCAAGTCTTAGGAAGTATTCAGTAAGCATTAGCTAATTCATGTTCCTCAAGACTCGTTGCAAAGGTAGGTAGTAGGTTAGTGTTGGATTCCTGAGTGACTGAGTACTATGTAAAGGTGTGTTGAAATAGTTTGTTTACAGCTTAAGCAGCCTGTCTCCCCAGGTGTTAACATAGTTCTTTCCCAAAGCTGAAATTGCTCACAGGACAAATTGCTGAAACTTTGTACATTACTTCATGAGCTTACCTGTGTTTACTTTTCCTTTCCTCCCTCTTCCCTACCTTAACTTCAGGGTTCCTTGGAAATAACACAGAGTTTAGAAGATGATCCTCTGCTTGATGCACCGCTTATTTCATCTCATGCATTGCATTCGCAGCTGAGGCCAAGATTTCGTGCTATCCCAGCAGTCCTTCTTGCCAATTTTCTGTTGTTCATACATGTAAGTGTAAGAAATGTGGTTTCCTCATGAAAATTTACTGCTTTTTTTCTGAATTCTTGCTGTTCATGCAGACAGCTTGCTCCTGAGATGTAAATATGCTGTTTCTGCAAAACAGTCAAAGCTTTGCTCTCCATCAAATTCTGGTGATGCTATGTGATAATTGCTGAGTCTACCTTTTGATTTGTTTGTTGGTGCTAGCAAGTTGTGAGACGTATTAGAATATTAGAGAGGGAAGTCTTCTGAAAAGTAGCTTTTTTGGGGAAGTATTTCCACTAGCATAAAATGCTACTGCGCTAGCAGTGCTTAGACTAGATAGAGATCTAAGGTCATGAAGATCTTGTGCCTTGTTGAGGCTGGACTCAATTTCACAGGGTATTTCATGGGACTCTTCTGCCACTGTGACTAAGTGGTAGTGCATGGAGAGAGAAAGGAATCCAGGTGTTACTTCCTGCTCTGGTTAACATCAGGGGCTTGAGGAGGAGCAGCCCTGAAAGTGAATTTCACAGGTCTTGTGTGTAGGACTTGCTGAGGGCTGTTAGACCAACCTAGTTTACTGTCTACTAGTGAGCTTATCCTTGATAACTACTGGGGAAGTTTATTGTTGCTAGTGCACCTGTGGAAACCAAACTTTGAAGGGTGAAGAACTCTGACAAAACTGTCCTGAGATGGCGCCTGTGTGTTGGTATGATTGCTGCTCATACTGACCTGAGGACTGCGTGTACAAAGCCAGAATGTTTGAGGGGTGCAGATAGGTAGCACTAGCAGAACTGGAGATTTGTCTGGCCTCAAACTTGGGTRTTCCCAAAGGCTACAACTCTGCCAAGACTTCACAAATACGCATTGATTTCTAAGCCATCTTTCTAGGCAGCTGCATAAAACCTTTCAATAAGGCARTAGGCTCTGGCCTTTTACATTTAAGAAGTAAACAGCTTGTGAGTCTCTCCTTGTGAGGAGAAGCCTCAGTGTCTGCCAGGGAGACCTAGGTGAGGTTCCTGCTGCAGGTTTGCTGCATGGGCTGTGGAGATCCCCAGTGGGAACTGGCTATCCAGCCTTACTTGCGACTGGAATAGCACTATTGCTGTCCCCATAGGTTGGTGCTGGAGGTCTGCAATATGGTGAAATGCACAGACCAGAAGTAACTTGCTTGCATTAACCCTTTCTTCCCARGCTTCTCCTGCACATAGACATACATAATTCCTTAATTCCTTAAATTTTATTGCTCTTATAAAGAGCTGTATTATGTAAATATACCACAATAGGTGAAGTGCCTTTTGTTGGACTGCCCTAAAATGTAAGCAAAGCATCTGTAATAGGTAATTTTTACTGAGAGCCATGTGCTCCCTTTTGCAGATGTTACTAAAGTAGATTAATACAGCTGCTCTGCTAGGCTGTTCCAGTTAAATAATAGCACTTTATCTTSTGCACTGAAACTGTTATAACATCTAAGTAGTCAAACTGGGTCTGTTCACATATTAAAATAGTGAAGCTATTAGGGTGAGAATGGCTATTCCTGGCCCTTTGGAGTAAGTGTTAAAAATTAAATGAGTGTTTTACTGCTTAAACTCCTTATTTCACTTGAGTTGGCCACTTCTCCCATATCTGAGATGACTTGAGGTATAAATTTTTTTCAAATAGTTGCCTAATGGATAATACAGGAATCTGGCTTTCTTCTCCTCCCTCCTCCTCCCCAGTAGTGATGACTGCAGTTACTGTTACTACTTAAATCCCCTTGCAACCCAGGCAAACTAAGGGCTGCTCATATAATGAGTTACTGAGTGCTTTGAAAGGGCTGGTATCAGGGAGGGGGAGGATTCAAAGTGACAAAAATGGAGGGAAAATGAATTTAGGGAACAAGTTTATTAAATCATTGTAGGTTTAGGTCAGTACAGATGAACTGTTGCAAAAAGAAAATAAGACCTTTCCTTTAGCTCCTGCTCTGTTTCTATTAATCAGGTGATAGATATTGTGGGGGTTTTACTGTGGAGGTGTGKGGGGGTTTKGGGTTTTTTTAGCTGAGTATTCATAGGGAGATTAGAGCTTTGTAGAGTTGGTGCATTTTTGTTGTATRTAGAAAAGAAAAATATACTTCTGATGGTGGATTTGTTTTATTTTTAGTTTAATTGAAAATGCCCAGGCTAGCTGGGGCTAGTAKGATGTCATTTTACTTTTCTATAGGGAGGTTTAATGAAGGATGATTATTGCCTAGGAAATAATTAAAGAAAAGAATGCAAACCACATAGTCCTACTGAATGGTCTAAATGTTACTTGCATTCTCTCAATCTCRTTAAAGTGGAGAATTTAATAAAAGGAGTCGAAGTAAGATGAACTCACTCAAGGTGAGATGGGGTTAGAAATAAAACAGTGGCAATTCTCATCTCTGGCCAGCTGAACACTGGTTGTGCTCCTGAAGGATGTTGTTATCCATTAATGAAATAAGAGTATGTGACTGACGTGGCAGCTGTGGTAAGCAGRTCTAATGTTTATAAACGCTACACTTTCTGAATGTATTTTACTAAAACTGAGAATTAGATAAGTAGGCTATCTCCTGAGGCGGGAGGAGAAGGGGATAGGGGTGGTGGGTTTTTTTCGTTGTTTTGGTTTTTTTAACAACCTTTCCATCTCTTCTCTTACAGGTTGTTTTTGTTGTTCTGTCCTTCTTGGCAGCCATGTTCTGTTCCTATCCCAATCCAAATCAGGACAAGTGCCCTGGAAACTATACTCATCCACTTAAAGTGCAGACTGTCATAATTATTGCAAAAGTCATCCTATGGATCCTGCAGGTGTTCTTTGAACGGTACATCCACCACCACCACAGTAAAGTCCGAAGCAGAGGTTACTTCTCCATCTATCGATCCACACGACATCTGAAAAGGCTTCCCCTGGTGATTCATTCCACAGGTGAATGGAGCTTCTTTTTTTTTGCCTGTGTGTCTGCGTGGGGTTTTCCTCCTCTTGTAAAGCTTGGAATTCTGTAACAGTRAAGCACTGACTGAACACTTGATCGTATCTCTTAGGAACTCTTAATCTCACACCCAGACTTATTTAAGTGCTGCTTATTTTATGCAGATGGACCTTCTGACTGGCTTTGAGCTGCCAGTTRTATCTTGTGAAGAAGTTGTCTTAGTTGCCTGCTCACAAGTGTGAGGCAAGTCTAGTCAGTAGCAGCTCTAACTAGAAAATCTTCAGCCAGCAAGCTCTGTCTGATAGTAGTCTTGATAGTAGTCTGTCTACTTGCTGGCCTGATTGGACATCTGGCAAGATGAACCTTCAAGAAGTGCATTGTGTGATTCATAAATAGAACCCTTTCCACACTCCACATTTTACTCAAAAGCAGGTGAATTGCATAGTGCTCAGCAGCTGCCTGCACCTAAGAAAATGAGTAAATTTGGCTCCACAAGCAGAGCTAAGTGGTGGTCAAACTAGGCCTGCTGTCCTCTATGTGCAAAGCATGGAGTGTGGCACTGTTCTAACTCCCCATATTCTGTGCTTTAACTGGCCAGTGGAAGATGAAAAGCCTCAACATGTAGCTGCTCTTTTTTCTAAGAGAAGCTACTTCTACAGACCTAAAACTCACTTAACTTGAAGAGACTTTTCGCAGAGAAACACCAAGGGGCAAGGGAAACATGATGGTTTTTGTAATTTTGCTTCTTAGAATCACCATCCTGCTCCTGTAAGCTTTCCACAGAACTAGAGTAAATTTTATTTCTACCAATGTTGGTGGGTTACATGGCCCCTAYCTTTGTAGCAAACACTAGTCAGCTTCCCACCCACCCCCTGAAAGTCCGTGTAGTCAACCTGATTGTACAGAGCTTCAGATTGTGGCCACTAGGTAGAGCTCTGGAGTTACTTATGGGCAGTGAAGAGATCAGCCCACAGCAGACCTGAGGATGCTTCGGGGGGAGAGTAAAAGGCTTATTTCTGCCTATTGCAGCAAAGTCTGGAAGATTTAACCTAGCCTTCTTGGGTACAGTCTATTTCTCCTCACCAAACTGCTTCCCACATCTAAGTATTCAAATGCAGTAAGTGTTGATGCAAACCTGAATCAGAAGACTATGTGCTTCATGATGAATTCCTGCAGAGATTGCTTGTRTCCTGACAGATCACTTAACTAGCAGTGTGAATGAGAACTGCATAGTGCCTTAATTTCAGTGTCCTAATATATTTAGTGCTTTACAAGGACAGCTGTAAATTCAAGAACACCTCATGCTCTGTTAGAAGTATGCCATGGAGAGAAGCCATCTAAAAAATCCGGAGCATTGGGTTGCAACCCAGAAAATCTTTTAGGCAAGAATTTGATCTATAATTCAAGCTTTTGAAATACAGATTTTATTCATTATGACTAATTGTGTTTATTTCAATTCAACTTTAAGTAACTTGAAAGTGCAAAAGTAAAACTAGACAACTAGAAACCTATGAAGGCTCTTGAGCAAAGGTGTTTGTGTGTGTGTGGTTTTCTTTTTTCCCTTTGTTTTGTTAAATGTTAGTATCATTTAAACATGCTTGAACTTGCTGCTTGTAGGGAGATGCTCTCTTAGTCTGTCTGCAGCTCCTAAGAATTKAAAGAAAATAACTTCTGAAGTATGGAGAGAATGGACAGCAGCAATAAGGCCAGAAGTAGTTTAAGGATGTGCATATTATATTAGGCATTTCTAATCTCTTTAGGTCAGATGTATAAGAAAACTCAGTTTTGTACTACTAAAGACTGAAATGAGACCTCATTTTACAACTAGAGATTGAGAGATGCATCACCTGCTTTAAAGCAATGAGGATAGGATGAATTGGAAAAGCATTATTGCAATACTTCAGGTATTGGTGATGAGCAGTAAATTATTTTCAACTACTAAGTGCAATATCTGAAGTCTTTGTGTCCTTCTCTTCTAGGAAATGCAGCCCTGCTTTTGATTCTGTCAGTGCAGCATTCCTTTCCTGAGCACAGTAAAGTGTACCTGTACCTGATCCTGGGAGTCCTGGGCCTGGAGCTGATCAGTTCACTCACCTGCCTCGTGATTTACACAGGTGAGTGCCAGTTTCCCCTCAGTGAGACTGGCAGTAGTGGCTACTGAGAAGTTTTTTTGCTTGAAATATTAGTACCCCAAAATGTTTAATTGCAGGTATAAATGCAGAATGACTCTGCCTGTCGCAGGAAAACTAAGGCTAGTCTGGACAAGTGGGAAGGCCATCAGGCCTGATTTGATCCCTGACTGTTAATGGATAAAGCTTATTATCATAAAACTACTCATCTAATGAAGTGGTCATAAATGCAGAATTGTTGCAAAAGCATTCTGTGTTTTTTATATTTACTAGCTTGTCCTCAAATGTCTGCACTAAAGTTGAAGCAATAAGTCTGCTTTATTAGAACTGCTTCTGGGATTTAAATATGGTATTTTAGCTAATAGTGTGATGTTCCTCAGTTTCCAAACCTGTAAATCTCATCCTTTTTATTTCTCTATTCCCACCTGAAAAAGATCCTCTTAGTCACTATAATGGAGCAATCTTCTTTAAAGTTGTTTTTTAAATCTGTGCTAACACTAGTAAGATTGCCTCAATTTTGAGGCATTTTGTACTGTCACTCTCTTAAGGTTAATTCCTAATGCTTTAGTGTAATTTATCAAGCTGTGTTAGATCAGTGCTAAAGTATCTGAAGTATCAATTAAAATGCCTGTATTGGGTCATTTTTAAGATGAGGATAGAGAGAACTATTTGGATTTGTCTTGCATTAACTTGACTGCAGATAACTTGAACACTGGTTGAAAGCACTAAAGAGAGGAGATGTAATAATGTCATTCTCTTGTTCTAAAGGAACTAGAGGCATTCACTGATGTATCTGTATCTAGGAATAAGGAATTCTGCTCCTGAGTTTGATTCTTTAGAAAAGAGCATCCCAGCAGAAATATAATTATTTACAGCTATAAGTAAGGGGGTCGCAAGAGCCTAGTTCAGTAGTGCTGATTCATCTGGTGAAAAAAAGATAGGCAAAAATTATTACCAGCTTGTTTCTGACATAATCAGGTGGCAGGAAGAAAGTAGAAACTTCTAGTACTGCATGGAGCTTGAAAGCAAGAGCCATTCTATGCTCATCATTCCTCTGGGAGGAAGTCTTTAGATTACTAATTAATCTCAGTGCCTTTTTTGAAGGGAAAAACTTGGTGTGAGCTTACTCTAAGTCATACTGAGGAGTACTGCCAAGTGGATTGGTCATCTTGGAGGTAAAGTCTAGTCCTGATGTTCCTGTAACCATTTTGAAATCAAAATACACCAAGAAATGAGAGTCCAGCTCTAGAACTGTCACTGTGCAGAGGGCCCAAGGTCTGGCTTGCTAGTGTAAAGCTGTGGGGTGTTCCCAGAGCAGCTCACCCACCTGAGCAAGGTGGGCTGAAGGGGGCTGGGAAGCAGGGATCCCGTGGGTGTTGGAGCGAAGGCGGAGAAGGGACAGTTGCCCTGCTGGGCAGGGGCAGGGTGCTCCCTTTGGGCAGCAGGGTCACCTTGTGTCCTCTGCAGCCCAGAGCTGCAGCCTRGGCCTCCCTCTAAAGCTTCATGTGCATGGATAGAATTTTCATTTAATTTTCGGGATAGAATTAATTTTAGAGATCACTCTTCTCCTGAGGCAAGCACTAAGTTCCATTAATGTCCCTAGTTTGCCTTTTCCAATCTTGTTCTCCATCCTGGTGTATGTTGAGATAAAACTAAGACTTTCCACCCGTTTCTTGYGTGTAGGGGCTGTTTGGGTGTCTTAAGCTAAAGCTCTTCTGAGGCACAACAAGTGTCTTTGGTCAGTTCTGCAAATAGCCTGGGAACTTGTGGCCATCAGCCTCTTTTGAGAGACTGGAAACACTGACTGGAAACACTAAACCTCCYTAGTCAGATACTCTTTAATGGAGGCATCTATTTACTGTTGGAGTGCCCCTGTCCCTGGAAAGCACTTAGTGGCCACTGTTCCCGCTGAGATATGGGTGGCTAATGGAGCTCTGCAGCTGAAGGAGCAGCAGTGGTGGGGAGGGAGGAGGCCTAGGCTCACTCTTTCCCTAGAAGCTGATGACCTGTGCTGGCCTGTTTGCTCCTAAAGCTTTCCAGCTAGTGTCAGGGTTCAGGTGTGCTGTTTCTCTTGGAGCACAATTTTAAACTATTAGTGAGATGTAAATCCTTATCTATAGCAGCTTTAGATATCTGTTTTTATTTTGGTTTAGCGCTATGTGTAATGTCTCCCAAACAGAAGCAGAGCTGTGGGATACCTGACTGTAGTTCTAGGCTCTCCTTTGCTGCTAGAGCAGTCTTGTGAATTGTGATGCCCACTATTGGCAAGGACAGCTGTCTGTCTTCTAAATCTCCCATTGGCAATATATACATAGCAATATGTATGTAGCTCTGGAATTCAGGGATGGAGTCAGAAGTCTACTAGGAATTATTCTGAATGACTTGTAGACTTGACATGCTTACATCTGTATGGCTTCCAAGTGAGATAAATGTGCATAAAAACCCAAGTGCTCTAAATATCAATTTAATGTTGAGTTCACTGACAGAGTAGGAGGCCAAGCTTTCAAAGGCTTACTGAATGTATGCGYTTAATGGCTTTTTTCCTGTGTACTTTTAATATCTCTTGAATAGCAGACTAACATTCCCACAAACAAAGCATGTTGGAAATTCCTCATCTATTCCTGCGTGGCTTTTTGCAGGGCAATACAGTCACAGAAATAACTAACCTTTGAGCCCAACGTGTAGCTAACCTCTGGAGGCTCTGGCATTGTTTTATCAGGGCAGCSTGTAATAAACCCTACTGTATTATTGACTTTCCCTGCATTTATGTGGATTTCTCAGAGCCAATGTGACCTGCTTTTAGTAGTGTTAGATGTATTTCTTCTGCAGCCCTGACTGTAGAAACCAGAATGTGCCTTCTGGGGCTCCCTGGTGAACTCCCCTTGTAATCCCGTCTGGTATGGAATAGCTTCAGATATTTTCAGTTTATATCCAGAATTATGCAGAGGGTAGCTAGAGCTTCTCCCCACTGCCCCATTCTGTGTCTGTTGAATTTGTTTTTGAGCCTTGTTCAGGTACCCATGAATGACTTGGGTCATCAAGAGCCAACCTTGTGGTGGCAGCTGACCACAAGGAGCCTCTCTGCTCACAGTAACTCGTGACTTGCTGTAGCAACTCTGTCCTGGTTTGGGGCAGCCAGACAAGCTGCTGCCTCATAGCAGGTAGTCTTGTTAAAATAGCATTCATGGAAAGAGTTTAAATGAAAAGCTCTGAGTTGACTCTGGAATCAAAAACTCTACAGCGTGTTTATTGCTTTTCTGCTTAGTTATGGCTTGAAATTGGAGCCTGGTTGCCGCTTCCTTCCCACGGAACAGCCTGGGCTGGATGGGAACTTTGGAGCTCAGCTAGGGCAGCCTTCTGCTCTCATGCAGGACCCAATTACCCAGRGCCCTGCCTGGGTGCCTTGGAAGTCTGCAAGGCAGAGACTCCACAACCCCCGGGGCAGCCTGTGCCGGGGCAGCCTCCCAGGGAAGTTGTTCAGTGCTGTGGGGCCACCGGCTGTGTTGGGTACCAACAAGTGCCCCGGGTCATGGGCTCGGCTCTGTGCGTGTTAAGCAGCACTTAAGGCTCCCCATGTCTTTGCTCATGGGGCTCTGAGCAGCAGAACAGACTTCTCTAATTCGTGACCAAAGCCACTTTAGATATGACTCTTTTTCTTTCTATTCCTTTTCTTTCCTACTCCCCAAACTGCCTATTGCCCTTCTGCTGCCTATTTTAAGGCAAGCTCATCTAATTTGTTCAGAGGGGCTGGGTTTTTTTACCTTGGAGCCTAATGATAAATCTTCAACTCTTGCTTTTACTTCATGAAACTTGACTGCAGTGAAAATAAGCAACTTCAATCGTGCAAAGCCAAGACCTGATATAATTGAAGAAGAGAAGATGTATGCTTACCCCAGCCACATTACCTCAGAAACAGGATTCAGGTAAGGCTTTCTCCATTAATCTTCCAATGTGTGCAAGTCTTGTCAACCATGATATGYAGGTAACAACTCAAGCAATTGCATTAGTTTCTGTACAGACTTATGCGTAGTGTTAAGTCTGTCAACCCAAATAGAGGTGAGGATACTAATTCATAAGAAAATTACATAAGATACTTTTTTACACACAAATGACAAGTAGTAGATGATGCTTTATATGTAGGATGCCMATTCTTTATGAAAAAAGTCTTCAAACAGAAGGGTACAAGTGATCAGACCATTTATGGCTGTTGCAAAAATCTTAAATGTGCTATAAATAACTGTGCTTACTCTCTTTTGGTTGCCTTTATATAGGAGTTGGAGAACAGATACYAGTGTGTAGTACCAGTACTAGTGTGTAGTTGGTGTGTAGTACTGCTGCTTAGAGTATGCCYGCAGAAGCCTGGCTTCAGCCCTTTCTTTCAAGCAAATGCATTGTTGCATGTTGAGATGGACTAGGTAGCTTTGAGCTTTGTTTTATTCCAACAGTTGAGCAAGTGATTTTTCTTTTTTTAGCAAGGGATTAGGAGTGTGCTTCCAGTTTGGGAAAGAACTTTAAAGGTGGATGTGTGTCCTTTAAGAGGAAAAAGTTGAGAGTGAGAGCTTTCCCACATTGACCATGCAAGCACTGAGACTTACTGCTTGTTTGCTCTGGTCAGGCGGTCTGGTGCACACCTTCCAGCTGCTGACATGAGTCCGATAGAGCTCAATAAGAAGTCAAAACTAACTTGGGCTTCCATGCAAGAAGATTTCCAAACTTTTTTGTACAGTGTCTTGCTTCTTAGTAAGACAAGTTCAGCTGCAGAAGACTAGAGGTAATGAATGCTTCATACTGGCCTGGGTGCCACAAATGTAGCACACACATGCGTTCATGAAACTTGGAAATAGAAGTCCAGGATACAGGAAGGCTTTAGAGTTGTCTTGGTTATGTTGATACAGTGTTGGGCTTACATCTCGATAGCAGCAGTGGTGGGTGCATGGGAGACCTCACTGCTTCCTTGCTCAGCCTYCCCCCTGAGAAATCCTCAAGCACCTAGAGAACAATTCAGCAACAATGTGGAGACCTGCCGAGGAAAAGGCTCTGGTCCTGTGATTATAAAGAGGGYAAACTTCCTGTGAGAAATGCTTTTTTAATTCAGGTCTATAGAACTCTGGCTCTTTCTTTCCCTGGTGATTTAAGGTCTATTGAAAAGTGAATCCTGTCAGCCCTGTGCTTGACCCTGGCTCTCAGAATGCTTTCTGCATCGCCTGACCCCTACCAGCTAAGCCTCTGACAGAGCCCCTCTGGGGCCTGGGGCTGCTCGTGTGACTTAGTGATAAAGGCTGTGAACAAGAAGACTTTTTAATCTACAAGACTCTTTTCAGTTGAGAAACAATATTTTTTTTATTGAACATCTTAAATGTCTGGTTTAAGGTCCGTGTTTTCTGCTTGGGTTAATTAATGCCACAATGMCACATTAAACAGTTCAATAGTTTCCATACATGTTTCCATGGATGAAGGTATTTCAAGCTGAAACTAAGCTGTATGTGAGTCTGCAAAGTGTAGATATAATATCAGCATGGGCAGTATTTCATATTACTGTGACAGTAACACTGTCCTCAAATGCTTTTACAGACTAATGAAGAAATTTTTTTCCTAGTACTTTGGCTATAGATACCACAAGCATTTTGCTTAAAAAGCTTGCTACTCCATTGGTGAGGTGCTGTGTGCTTTTTGCTTGATATGGTATTACTGCATAGTCTGGTTTTGCTCTGTTTTACAAACTTGCAGCATGAATGTGCAAACATTAACCTTTCTGTAACTGTCTAGCAGAAAATTTCAATATTGCTTATGAAACATGGCCCAGAGGTAGCTAATCCTTTTTTTCYTGCCTTGTCATACATGATTGGGATTAAAACTGCTGTTGCAGGCTCCCTCCTCGCTAAAGCTGTCCAGATCAGCAAAAGCAAAACTGAAGGAAGAGTTTTCAAAGTCAGTTTTGATGTCTTCCATCTTTTCTTTTAATAACCGTATCCCCTTCCTTATTTTTCTCTAAGGGAAAACTCAAGTTTAGAAGAGATAGTTGAGAAGCAAGGAGATGTAATMGAGTACCTTCAGCGACACAATGCACTACTCAGCAAGAGACTATTGGCACTAACATCACAGCAAATCAGAACTTAAAAGCATTTACAAAACTGCTGCTGCAGCTCMAGAGGAATTCTCAAGCAGCCTCAGTTATATGGATGACTCTGCTCCATGAGGTGATTCAGCTTTCACACCTTGCAAGAGAAGTCTGTCAGGCTGGAAGTGAGTTCTTCATATACTGAGCACCTGTTACAACTGGACATACTCTGGCATTGCCCTATCCCTGCTCCCCAATTACCAGCTCTGGAAAGAGCTTCTGGAGGTTTGAGGACTTTTAATTTCTAATAGGTTCAAGTTGGACCTGAGGTAGTAGTTTGATTTTGTTCAGCTGTTGCTATCATTTAGCACTGTTGTAACACGGAAGCTTCAAACAGCCAGAGTATTTGATTTCTAGAACACAAAGTGTTTTCTAGAAAACCAAATTTTGCAAAATTTTGGTTGAAGCTTCAGGTGGCTGAAGCTGAGACTAGATGTGTTCTATCACTGTGTCATGTTTCCAGTTATTTGAAGTAGTGAACATCAGTGAATCCTGTTCAAAGCAGCTTGTTTCCTAGATCTGTCTTGTTTTCCCCATTTGTCAGGAAAATGAATAAAAATGTAGCCTATGTCAGTGGGGAAACTGGCACCCAGCTTATGTTTTTTTAAAAAAACAAAGCAAACATTGGGTGCCCTAGAATGCCAAATCATGCATCTGCATGTGTGGTTGGGTAACAAGGTCATAAGTTAATTCGAGCAGCTATTCAGCKTTCTGGCTTTAAAACTCCTAAAAGGGATCTCCAGGACTGACATTCCTGTGGCTAAAGTTGTGTTAGTTACTACTAGACAGGACTGCTACTTTCCATATTGAACTAACTAGACACAAAAAAATCTTTCTATTAAACTGGTGGTCAACTCATGTTGATCAGATCTCCACTTCTAGGTTTGAGCAGTGTGAGGGTAAATCCTGCTAGGGATATTATCTCAGTTGTGCATATTGGCTCAATTGGACTTTGCAAACTTGAAAAAGCATCCTGCCTCCAAAGCTCAAGTACAGACACAGGTAAATAAATATATCAAAATAAGCACCTGGCAGGAGCTGGCACTGGGAAGTTGAGCCTCTCGGAGCCCCTGCGTGTTGCGTGGGGTTGTGGGCAGGCCAGTGCTGGGCCTGGAGGCTCTCTGTGCTGCCCCTGCCCTTTCTCCTCAGTGCTGGAACCCRTGGGCTGTCACCACTGCCCTCTGCCCAGTGCCTCTGCAGGGAGGCCAAGGACATCCCTGCTCTGGAAGAGGGCTCAGGTGAGGACTGGCCCTGTGGGAAAACTGGGAAGAATCCAGGTAATCCATTCTGCCCCGAGCCTGGGGCAGATCTTCAGAAGTGGCCACCATAACAAGCACTGGAGTTTTCCAATTGGAAGGAAATGCATGTGGAGACCTTGCTGCTGTTTAACACTAAACTCTGTTCCCTCTTGAACCGTTTTCCCTTGAAAATGCAGTCTGGATTTTATAATAAACTTGAGATGCAAACTTTTGTTTTTAGAACTCAGATTTTGGTGCAATTGTGAATACTGGTTTATGATTTYTATGAAAAGCAGTACCTGTGACGGGAGTTTATGCACAATAAATGCAACCACCTGAGAGGGAGCTCTCCCATACCTGACCCTGTGACAAACAGCCCTGTGGGGCGCGTCACGGGGCGTGTCGTGACGTCGGCGCGCGCTGCATGCTGGGGCTTGTAGTCCGCGGGGCTGGGGCGGGGCGGCGCGCGGCCTGGCCGTGTGGCTCGTGCCGTGCGGGTCCCGCTCGGCTCCACCGTTCTGCAGGGGGAAAACCCGCGCTGGGGAAATGGGGGCTGTCAGGCATAGCTGAAGTATTCAGGGCTGTCCTGTCATCCCTTCCTCMTCTACCCTCCCTCCCTACCCTGCCCCCCCACCCCCCAAAAATAAACCCAAAAGAATTTTTTAGAGGGGGAGGTCTAATGTTTGTTTTCATATGTACCCTGTCTGTCCTATTTAACCCAAAAGGGATGTCAAGGAGGAAAGGGACTTGGCAGAAAACAAGTCTTGCAAGAACACGAGACATGGAMAAAGCATTGCGAGTGCAGGAATTCGTCTTTTAGACTTCTATCTATATAAAGGTCTAATTTTTAATGCTTTACTATTCCTAATGGATGTGGTTGTGTTTCTGCTGTTTCAAACTTAGCAAAAGCAGTTTGCAGCTGTGATCACCAGCAAGAAAGATMAAGGCTGTGGACAGTGCTAAGAGGCCAGTGTGCTAATACAACCTGCATCAAATGCTTGAGACTTACTGATGATATCAAGTCTTGCCCCAATTGCTGTTGACAGGAATCTTGTGTGACCCTTAAAGTGGCTTTGCGTGTATGGATACCTATTTATAACATAGGTATGCGGTGTAAGGGAAATATTTCCAGTCTTTATTCTTCTATAACTTCCTTTTTTTTTCCATACTGGAAAGGGAAGAGGTGAATTGTTTATTCTCCTTTGGGAACATACTAATCTGTTGTTTCTCACCAAGGCCTTGCATTTACCTCCATTTCCTGTTGACCTGCTATTTTATCATTTTGTACTTCACCCTGAAGAGCTAATGGAACTCAATGGAACAGTTTCAAGTAAGTTTTAAGGTTATCCCACGAACGCATTCTTCTCTCATGGGCAGTTGCACCATATCTCAAAGTTGGAAGTTTCAGAGTTCAAACTTTGAATCCTGAACAACAAAAGTCCTTTGGATTTTTTTTTAGAGTGCAAATCGCCCTTCTCAATTTAACAATGTGTATTTGTACAACCCTCCTTTAAACATGCACGAGCAGGTGAAGAGCAGCTTGCAGCCCAGTCAGGGCGAGTCCCGCTCAGGAGGTGGCGCGGTGCTTGGTGGCAGCAGAGCCCAGCAGGCAGTTCAGCTGCCAAGCCCAGCACAGCTAACACAGGGCTCACCCTCTGACAGGACAAGTTAGCTCCATTCTAGCTTCCTTGTGCTCCAAGGGTCTGTCCTCTGCTGCCRAAAATGTTTCCCTGCACTCAAACAAGGAAAGGTGGTTTGTAAGAAGGTGACCTGAGATGTTTCAAAATCTTAGTGCAGAGCACCCTGGTGTAATCCTGCTTTGCTACAGAGATGGCAGGTTGAAGTAGGCTGTGTCTGTACCAGCCAGGAGCTGTAAGTTGTTTCTAAGGCTGTTACCAGAACTAGTCTGATCTTTTGAGAAAGAAARAATATAAAGAAAACATGTATACATGAATAACTTTATTTGTGTCAAAAGTTGAGTAATAAATTTTATGTATTGATCCCATGTGAATTTACAAGGAAATTAGATAGTTTCCATTTTCTTTGGGTATATAGCCCTTGACATCTTAATGTACAATTGAAACTGTAAAAGTTTATCTAAAAGGAGGCATTGAAATGTTATTTGAAGTGCATAATTTTTTCTTCTTTTTTTTTTTTTACAAAATATACAACTAACTAGCAAGTACATAAATATATCTATCAAAGGTTACAATCGGTGTCTTTTTATAAAGATTTTATGGTATCAACATGACTGAGACAGAACAAAGTCATTCAAAATAATTGTGCAGAGACTGACGCTGCTGTTTCCTAGGACACTTGAGTACTTGTTTCCTTTTCCTCTCCATACAGGAACAGAACATGTGTATGTAGCTCTCTGATAGATACATGAGGTTTTCTTATTTTAGCAAAGCTATTGAATACTTAGTTATATAAAACAATCAGCGCCACCCTAAGTTCATATGTTCATTCATAAGATAATTCTGTAAATAGTTGCTTTTACCTTTTTCACCCTTCTTTCTTTTCCCAGCCCCTTCCTGGCTTCCAAGCCCCCTTAACCCGTCCTTTTAAATAGAGACAGACATGAAAGGTTAACTTCTACGTGATAAAAGTAGTTGCAGTTTTAGTGGTAGTAGAGTACGGCTCTAATTTGGAGAAAAGGCTTCTTCCCCCTCTCCCCTGCCCCTGAAGGAAACCTCTGCATTAGCCCACGTTAACTTTGGTTGCTGTACTGACAAGTCTCAACAATTTTTCTGTGGCACTGACTGTCAAAGCTTCAGAACAGAGGCACATTAAGTCTATGAAACTCCTATGAAAGCCTCCCGGCAGAAAATACCATCATTTTGCATACACACTTGCACTGATTGGAGTGGTTCATTAATTCAGTTTTCCTGATTGCTTTTTTTTCACTTTCCTGTTAGTGGCTCTGTGCTGGGAGCCGGAATGACGCTGCTGATGCTCACGTCTTTACACAGTCCCCTTGACCTAGAGCAAGGGTGGCATTTCAAGATTTGTGCAATATCTCAAAGACCTGGGTGTGTGTTATTTCAGGTTTGTTTTTTTGGTGTTTAGCCGTACTGCTTTACCTTACATGTAGCAGGTTGTTAATTCTGATAATATTAAAAAATGAGCTATGGAAAGTACATTTCTAAAGACAAAGTAAAAATTCTAAGTATTCTTGACCTCTAGGGCTGAAAAGAACAGTTCAGTTTGTTGGTGGCTTTCTTTCATTGCAAAGCCCTATTCTAAATGTTCTGTTCACTTTAATTACAGGAATTACACTGGGGTTGACCAGACAAAGGTTTCTTTTCAATGGTCTATTTTTATGCTTGATGTGTAATACTGTAGTCGTTGGTATTTTAGGAAGGCTGCTCTTAAGCAAATATCTGTATTGCTGAATTTCCAGATATATTGTGGCTGTCTGGTTGCAGAGCCCAGTTTAAGAAAAGTGACAACAGGCTCTGCAGTGATGGCTCAGGAGACAGGATGGGCTTGACCTTAAGGTCTGACTGGGGGTATCAGAGTTATCAGTGCTGCACTGGGCTTTGCATGACCCTTGGCTAATCTCTTATCTCTGTGCCTCAATTCTCCAGCTATAGAGGGAGAGAGGATGATGCTCCCTTTGCTCCCTTACACTGCAAGCTCTTCTGTGTGAGAACTGTTATTATATGTGAAGCCATGGTGCTGACATTGGGACTATTGTAGGAAAACACTGTATATTACTGAGGTAAATATCATAGAATCATAAGTATTGAAAAATATATATTAATATATGAAAGTATAAACTAACCTGGACAGCTCTGTGCTGCAGTCTGACATACTGTTTTTCTCACAGCCTGAATTAGTCAACAGCATGTACAATTTATCTCTGAGTAGTACAGAGCATTGAGTCCTTCTTAAGCATTGAGTCTTCTGTAACGCCACTGGATTCAGGTGTCTGTTGCTTCATTTAATCCTTAACTTTCACCAGCCTCTATGAGATTCAAATAATTTGCACTGAATACTTTAACCAGGTAAATTTCAGGTTCATCTTTCCCATCCCCACCCTTTTTCTCCCTCCCTCCACTTCSAGTTGTAGGATGTGGTTCCAAGTCTTTCCAACAGGACTGAAGTGTTGACGACCTTCTTTCCAGATGAACAGTTTCAACACAGGACTGCTGTAACTGCATCAGCTCAGCTGATGTAAACCCAAACCTAGATTTATAACTAGTTTCTCTTGCAGTGTAATTGTTGCAACTTCTCATTCAAATCATTGAAAAGCTCACTGTAAATTTACTGGGAATGGGAGGGGAAAAGGAAAATAGACATTAGTGAGATTTAGTAATTAACATCTTATAAAAGAATATATTCTATTTCTAAAATACACAGTTGAAACTTAAGTAATACCTTTTTTAATCTTGTCACTTTCCCCTGACAAGATTAAGAAAAAAAAATAAGAGAAGATTTCTGACATTATATATTCTTCCAATTTTCTGTCCTTTTCAGCCTACATAACTGATGGGAAAAACAAGTTCAAGCTGTTATGTTCACCCCTGTTTCCAAACGCCTGTTGAAATTCAGATTAAGGGTCCTTCCTATTTGCATCTGCAAATAGCTTTATCCATATGTACAACTGCCTTGACATCAATGAGATTGCTCCCATGAGTCAGGTTACCCAGGCATGTAAATATTTGCTGAATTAGGACCTAAAACTGGAAGGGAATGTTAATGTAGATGGTAAACCCTACTTAAGATAAAGGACGAAGCACCCACAATGCTAACTGAGGTTAACAGAGTTGGTTCAGGTGCCTGTCACCTCTCCTCCCCCAGCCGAGCTTTATAGATTTCTTAATGGCTTTATGGGACAGAMCTGTCTTTAACTACGTGCCTATACAATATATTATGAATGAGTATGTATGTTTGTTTCCTTCAGCGAGGACCTTTGTTACAAAAATTGTCTCCTGCCATAAAAGGAGATAATTTTAAGACTGCTTTTAAATGCTTGATACTCTGTGAGGAAAGTAATTCCAGGACAGGCACGTGCATTGTGCACATGCCGCAATCTCGAGCCAAATGGGTTATATGGATTTAGAGTCCATGAGAGGGAAACATAGATGTCCTCTGCAGAAGCAGGTTCCAGCCTAGGCATGGTGGCTTAGTAGTAGGTATTTGAAACTCCTTAACTGAAGCAAGGCATTCATTCATGAGCGATTCAAGAAGTCTGAAGACTGAAATTCCCCTGTCCCTATCGTTTGGCTCACTTGGCCTCTGCATGCTGAGTGAATGGATCTGATTGCTTATCTCATTATGTTGATGCCTTTGCTGCTGGGAGCGCTCATTTAACCTGCCTCCTGTTGAACACAGCGATGTGTGGCTGGCATTCAATAGCAAAGCATCCTTCTGGAGCATCCYTCTTGAATGCAAACCTCACAAATAGCCTGGCTGCTGCTTAATTCTGCTACTCGGGTGGCAGCGAGGCAGCTCATGAGAGTGCAGCGATGGCAATCTGGCTCCAGCCTCACAAAGCGGCCCTTTRCCACCCGTATGCACATTCCCCTGTTTATAGGCCGGCACTTGCAGTGGATCATTACCTTTCCAAAGGGCCGCCTGGGGAGGGGGATGGCTTTTTAAGCACGGTGGTTACTCCCTGACACGATGCTTGGGGTGGTAGGATTGCAAAGAGACCAACTTCGGCTCCTTTTTGCAGGGTTTTTTTTTTTTTTTTTTTTTTTCTCAGTAAAAAGTGAAGCTTTTTTTTTTTTTTTTTTTTTTCTGCACAGAGTTTAGGTTTGACTCTCATTTATTTATGGTGCTGCCAAGCCTGGGGCTACAACATTATTTTGACATATAGCAAGTCTGGAAGATGCAAAGCTCCTTGCCGCATGTTTTATTCATTCTCTGACTACAAGTGAGGCCTGCCTTCCTTTTGATGGCTGTCCTATTTACATATGTTACCTGTGTGCTCCTTGAGCCACTTAGTATTTGAATGTATATGCCCTCATCAGCTATAAAGCATTAATGTTTTGCACTTGTATGGCCTTTCGCCCAAGAATCTCAAAGGCTCTTTCAGCGAACGTCGAAGACCTGCGGTCCCCTTTGAAGGGGGCAGAGGCCGCTACCTCCCCGCTCCTGAAAGCGGCAGAGGCTGGAGCGCTGAGAAGGGGAAGCATTCCCGCGGGGAAGAAGCGGTGCCCCGTCTGCAGCCTTGCTGCTGGCTTGTGTCCCCCTGAGGATGCTCCTTGCCTGCCGCCTCGCTTCGGCGCCGCTTCTCCCCACTTTGCCGGGAGGCGGGAGCTGCGGGCACCCCTCGGGCAACAACCAACTCGCCCTCCCTCCCCAACCGCGCCTGGTGCGGGCAGCCGAAAACGCCTCCCGGGCCCCTTCGGAGCCTCCTCAGCGACGGCTGCGGGGGAGCCGCGGGTCCCGCCCGGCGCCTCGCCCCGACGCGCCCGTTACGACCGTTAACGCTCGTTACCTGCGGCGGCGGCGGCTGCGGCGGGTGTCGCCTCAGGGGAAGGGCACTCTGGAGTGGAGCGGCACGCAGCGGCGCTGCAGGCAGCCGTGCCGGTGCAGCTTCCTGCGCAGCGCCGCGCTCCCTGCGAGCCCGGCCGGGGGCAGCGAGGAGGAGAGCGCCGTGAGGCGTCCGGCCCGCGCCACGCGCCCCGCCGCGGACCGTTAACGGGCTCCACGCGCTCCGCCGCCGCT